TGCTTATTAATTTCAATGTTATTTGGCAAACATTCATCGTTTTGATAATTAGTATTCTTTGAATGTACTGTTAGGACCTTATAAAATTTCAGAGTATTTTAAGATTTTGATGGGTTGCTCAGCAACATGAGGAATTAAGTTGTGCTTAAATCTCCACAGCAAGTATCTGTGAACAGCAGTTCTTGTGATGGGACGTAAATCTCAATCATCCTTCATTGATTTTCCTACTTACATGCATAATAACTAGAATGTATTTCAGAGTCACAAATCCAAGCAACTCAAATATTTTCTTTAAATATATGTTCTGTCTTTATCTGTTTAATTCAGCTCAGAATTGAGCTCTTCACATCCTTTGTCTCGGATTCCCTTGTCAGGAGCCCTCTTTGGGTGCAAACCCCTCTACACGTGCTGCTGTGCTTTCAGTAGCAAATCAGTCAACACCAGTTCTGTAAAGGCAAAGTGAGTCACCTTCCTTTAGTGAGTTCTTTATCGGTTTGTCTTTCAAGGATAACACCTGTTGTGGGAATTACTTTGCTTTTGAGGCTCTGGTTAGCTATGTGGCAAGCAGCTAGCAAACTTTTAGCTACATTTGATACTATTTCTATTGCTTAGAGAAAGTGGAAGAAAGACATTTGGAAATCCTGTACTGACATCTACTCATTTCCACCACAGCTACAAAGCATAGCTGGGTTTGGATTAGACTCTGAGTGATCTCAGGAAATGATAAGAGCATTATAGTGGTGTGGCTTGGCTAGATGAAGAAATATTCTTCCTCTCACTGCACCCACCAGCCATAGTCAAGCTTAGACTCTGCCTATAAATGATTGCATCACGTTAGATGTTTTAGCTTCTTTGCTTCCTGCATTGATGTGACAGTACTCCCTAGGGAAGACAACCTTCTACTATTATTAGTCAGAGCCTTGACCCTGAAACTTCTGTTGTCAGTCCCTTAAGGATGCACAGGAAAATGGTGCCATGCTGCTGTCCTCTGTGAAGACAAGATCAAACCTGTCCAAGCTCCTTGAAAGAAAAGCTACCCACACACAGACTCTGTGGCCTATAAAAGGAATTACAAAAATCCATCTGAGATGTAATGAAAACATGAATTAATGACTTCATATCCTTCTGTGAGTCCTGGCCTCAGCTTTTATAGATTCCAAGTAAAACATTCAATGAATGGCCCTGACTTTATGTTCCAAGTATCACGAATATAAAACTGGCAATTCAGGTTTGTTGAGTTTTGCCCCCAAGAAATATTCAGAAATACAGGACTGACTGTCACTTTAATTGTGTAGGTGAAACAGCAATGGTTTCCTTGCGGTCTTATGGGACTGAAGAAAGACCTTTTGTGTAGCTTCCTAAGAGCAGGTTCCTGTTACCACAGAACAAGATGGTTCTGCTCCCCCACGACCTCAGTACATAACCAGACTGGGTAAACACACTTAATTAAAGTGTAGAAAACAAAACAAAACAAAACAGAACAAATCTTCAATGACTGAAACAAGTCAACAGACCTGCTAGGGACCAAAAAAACCAAACCAGCCCAGGAACCCCAGTATCTCAAACTGATTTCTCAGCAAAAGATTTCAGGAGATTATGTTCTCACAAGTGATTTCCAAGTGAAAAGCAAGATCTACTGTTATTGCTCTTATTGAAGTTTTCAGTGGCAAAATATTTAAAACTAGTCAATGCTTTCAAAGGGAAATAAAGCTGCTTTTTCTCTCAGAAATCCTGCTGGCTGCCAGTGTTGACACAAAACTCGCTTTTGACCAGGCTCCTGAATGCTCAGCAAGCTCAGCAGGATGGTGTAATTGTTTTGTTTATTTATAAGTGTGGCAAGTTTCCTACAGGAGCAGCTACCACATTTAAATGATCTTGGCAAGCCAAAGGGCATACTGGATACGTTCTGAAGAAAGACCATGTGATTGCCTGGCAGGCAATTTCCTTTTCTTTTAAAGCCCAAAACACACCTTTTCAGCCTCTCTCTTTTAACACTCTCTTAAGTGTTACTATTTCTGAGGATATTTGAAGCAGATAAAATGGTAAGAATGCTACAAGGAAGACAAACAAGGTGTCCAGAAAAAAGCCTCACACTGACCTTGAGACAGAATACTAAGGGCTCTCCAAGCAGGTATTTTTCCTCAGTACAACCACTCATGGCAGACAAATACATTACTTAGAATTTCTGCAAGGTATTGTAAAATTCAGAGCATTTTAGCATCCCAGAAAACCAAAGAAGAAGTCTCTTGAAATTTAAGGAGTGTTTTTCTGGATCTGTAGTAAGTCTATAGTCCTCTAAATGTAACTGAACAGACCTTTGGAGGAAGCCAGAATGCCTTTCAGACCAAGCATATATAAATGCAACACCTAACTACGACAGGAGCCAGAAAAAATAAAATCCAAGTTACTTGGCAAGTTTACAGCATTTCAAGTGGTGCTTGCTGAGAAAGTCAGTAAGGTTGTGACAGATGGCCCCAGAAAGGACACTGGTGCTGAAGCACTGGGTAATGGATGTTCCAGTGAACACTTCTGTAAGTGTTAAGTGTAAGCTATTATAATTCTGTAATAACTTCAAAACCTCTTTGTCTCACATCTTAATGAATTCTTTGTCACTTCTCCTGTTTTCCAGGCAAGAAGTCAAGGGGTTTTGTATGGGATTGCATGTTGCTATGGAAGCTACAAAGGTTTCACTTTTGCTGTCCTACTGCAAACATTTGGGGTTGGTTTTGCCCCTTCTCTATTTCACTCTACTGCCCACTACTTAGCACCTCAGAAGAGCAAAACATAGTCATATAATTTTCATAATCAGCTGATGCCCATGGCAAATCCAGCAGGTTAAATGCTTCTGTGGAGGCCAAACATCTCATACACCCCCTCCACTCTACTGTCTCTTTTCTTTCCTAACAGGGTGAGTTCTGCAGTGCTTTGGGAGCCCCTGTCCCTGAATGGTGCTACTCGAGGTCACGGGGGAAGCAGGCTGTGGAGTTTGTGAATCCCTCTCCTGACTGTGCCCTTCTGGCCAATGCTTCTCATCTGCACAAGCAGAGCTCTCCTCGAGAGCCTGCCCTGAGGTGGCCTCTGTGGCAGATTCATCCTGGCAGCTTGTAGCTTCAAAACATGAAGTTCACGTTTTTATATCACCCAGCAGCTCATGCTGGCCATGAGTTAGCTACTGCATATGCTCATGATGGGAAACTCCAATCAGCAAGTAATGAATCTGTTGATTTCAAAGTCCATCTGGGCAGTGTAGTGTAAATTCATGCTATTCATTGATCACTTGAGATTTTGGGAGGAAATTAGCCAGTGAAATTGCTTTAAAACCCCACACCATGAATGTCAGCCACATCTCAAAATAATTTGATTTTTAAATTCTCCCTAGACATCTTATGCAAAGGAGAGTTCCAAAATCATGCTTCTCCACCTCAGATTGAGAATTAAACTACAAATGCTTTGTGTAAGCCAGCTAGTTCCTACTGTCCACATTCATTAAGAAAGTGCTATCAGAACTGGGATCCTGCTGGCTACAAACAACTTTACAAACTGATCCAAAACCAAAATGCCATCTAGGAACCAATTCAACAGCTGCTGAGATTCAGCCATTTCTGGAACAAACAATTACAATTGCTTATAGGACCTTAAAGCAAAATTATGTTAGACACACAGCCAGAAATATAGCACCAAGTGCAATCAAATGAAAATTACAAATATCCACAGTGTTACAACTTGCTCTCAAAGTTCTCCAGACCACTAAGTTTTGTCTGCTCTGAGATATTCTTGAAGTGTTGTTGAACTGTTAAAACCAAGCCAAATTGAAGTTCTTTTGTAAGCATGTTGTAGCTATTAGAAATACAATTTGTATTTCCCTGTCAGAGTTTTGGGAAGTTTCAAGGTGATAGAATTTTGGAGAACAAAAGGAAAAGCCATGAAAAAAGCCAAATTTCCCATTCCTGCCTTATTTCACCCTGTAGTTTCTCAGCAAAAGCTATTCCCATCCTGTGAAAAGCAATGCACTATTCACACCTGTTCAGTAAACAAACGTATTTTATGAGTTGTGAAGTAATATAATCAGTAATTATTATATTGAAATGAGAAAGATTTAAGTAGCAGAGTTTGATAATGGTTTGTGGATGGTATGTATGTATGTTGTTCAGTGAGACCTAACTTACAGTCCCAACAGTCCATGAAATGAAGGATAGTCCTCAGGCCATCTGTGTATTATTACAAACAATTTGTACCAAAATTCATGTCTTTGTAAGAGATATTTTTTCAGCTTTTGTTTATTCATTTATCTTCAGCCTCATTAAAAATTAGCATATTAAGTATATAAAGTGGATCTCAGATTGGTCAATTTTACTTGACTTCAACTACTACCAATAATCCGAACATAACATTCCCCATACTAAATATGGATTCAACACACAGCCAAGAGACTTGCATCACTAAGAAACAGCCCTTCCCTGTGGAGTCACCTTTTTGCTACAGTCTCAAGCAATTTGTGATGGAATAACCAGAAGCCAGCTCCTGATATCAGTTACAGTGGTCAAATTTATTGTCATCAAAGCAGTGACTTTTGTTTTACCTCACTGTAATGGAGATCAGAGTCCTGACTAAATATTCTATATATATACACACCACATAAACATAATACTACTAGTACGTGAGACAAGACTAACATCTTAATGCGTTTATTTCCATTTGTAGCTTGCATGGTAAATTTATTGCAATGATAAGCATTTTTTCTCATGTCCTCCTGTATTTGCACCTTTGTTCTTCAAGAGGGTTATTGATTTCTCCCCTCTTCAAAAGCTCTATGATCTGGTAAGTCAAAGGGGATAATTTCAATGTTAAGGAGTGGATCAGGACACAACCCTGGATAGCAGAAGCAAAGAAATGCCACTTCTGTGTGAGCCTGTTGTAGCATTAGCAGTGCTGCTGTAGGTGAAGAACCCCAACCTCTGCAGGCCTGATGCCAAAGGCAGGTGGTATGAAGAAGTGCCTACCTGAAGACGGCGAGGCTCAAAGACCAGAGCACTAGCGGCTTCCTCAGTTCAAATTTTGCTCGCTTGTTCATTAGGTGCCGACCACCAAATATAAAGGCAGCATACAGAGCTGAAAACAGGAATGATTTCTTCCTGCAAAACAAAACCAAAAAACACCTGTCAAATGTTTAATTAGTATTAGATACATAGAAGAATCACATATGGACATCCCTGCTAACGGCTTGTGCGCTTCCTTGAAAGGAAACTCTTTTGGAGACATTCCTGCATCCCAGCTGAGCTTATTGTATCTGTATGAAACCACATGCCTGCACACACTCAGGGCTGGCTGCAGGCAAAACTGACCCTGGGGAAGCTCTGGAAAAGGACAGACAAATTTGGCTCCCATTCTTCGCCAGTTTCAGAAGACTGAACTTCTGTGAGGAATAGAATAGATATGGCAGAGCCCAGACAAGCAAAACATGGCTGGTACTTGAACCAGCTGATCAGGTTTTGCACCTCATTTATCTTTTTGATACAAATTTTTGTTCCCTGCAGGATCTTCGGTAAGTGGAAATTTAGTTTCCAATTGCTTCCCCTAAAAAAACACTTAAAAGATCATGAGCACTGCAACACACCATGATGAGCCTCACAAAAAGCAGAGAATCAGTGAGGAGAGGTCAATAGCCCCATTAAGCAGCAGGACCATGCTGGTTGGCATTGCCCTGTGGCATCGCCCTGCCTGTGAGTGCTGGTTCAGGAAATCCAGTGCATTTGCTGAAAGGTCAAGCAGGGCTCTCTAAAGGAACTTCAATTATACTCTTCAAATTGCGAATTTTATTTTTAAAACTGCCTGATAGTAGTCCAGCTCAGCAATAATCACCAAATATTTGAACTCTGCTACTATAACTCATTTTAAATCAACCATTAGAGGTCAAAAATAGACTAAGTCTGGGATTCCTTCCCACACAGCACAATATTATACTGACTAAGGCTTAATGATGTACACCATTAATGGTGGCCTAACTGAAAGGGCATCTAGTGAAGAATAGAATTTTCTCTACATAATTTATCATTATATTCACAAATATAGGGTGGACTATGGTTTTGAACCAAGAGTTTCTGGCTCCTCTTGTACACCAAGAAAGAACGACACAATACTCTCAAGAAAGGTAAATATTTCATTAACATGACTGAAAAGACAGCAGTGGGCTACAAGACCTTTAGTTCTTTCTGACGCTGGAATCCCAAGGGCAGCAGTGGCAGACAAGACTATGATCCGGGCATAGCACACTGCCCATGCTTCCCACTGGGAGAGAGGCTCACGTCTTTTCATAGGATTTTCAACTGAATGCTTAAATGACAGTATGTTGCTTCACCTCAAGATAAAAACAAGTAAGTGTCATGGTGTCACTACTGGTACCAAGTAGATACCACCTCTAGGCTCTTCCATTGTGATTGTCCAGCTGAGGTTATGCTGTGGCAAGGAATCTGTCCAGCACAGCATGGTCCTGAGGGCCAAGCAGTGTGGCACAGCACAGCATGCACCTGTGTCTCCTCAAGGCAGCTGGTAATGGATCATAAGAGCCTCAGTGGCCAAGGGTCTTCCTGAAAGGTTCAGAAAAACTAAGAAAGCTGTAGCACATCTAACTGGAAAATACAAAGAAAGCACATGCAGCCTTGAATCAAGATAAATGAAATGAATTTCATATAAGCTTGAAAGCTGAGTAAAAACTAACCCAAGAGAGACAGATGCATATCAGTAAGCATTCTGCAGCATGCCATTTTCTGCCCACTGACAAACTCTGTTTGCACTGTGTTGTAAAATGCAGGTAACTGCATGAATTTTATAACTGATGCTCTGAGAAGGGTGGACCCAGTGCCTGTAAGCCACTGGGTGAGCTTTAGCATCCATGCTGGCAAAAGTCCCAGAAGACCAGGATGACCACAGAGCCAGCACCCTCTCACCCTGTGCATTGAGATGGTCTAATTGCCATGGCAATGGTTATCACAACCAGGTTTTGAAAATGACAAAGCGCCGGTCCTTATACACATAATAGAGAAAAAAAGCATTTATTTTCACTTCACTGGTCAAGGAAGAGACAGAATCACCAACTTGAAAGCATGACCGCAATTTAACTTGGCTAGAGATCAGTAAATATTTGTTAACCAGTCTGGGTAATGATGAACCATCTCAAGCTTGCTCGTACTGAACCACCCAGCTGTTTACACAGGATTTATGGGTTGAAAGCTAGAAGAAGGCACTTAGTGTGAGTCTGGACTGCATTCCCATCTCCTTCCCGCTGCAGCCTTTTCAGCAGCAGTGTGAAGCCAGCCCACTGCCACTCTGGGCATGGCTGGGGTCTGTCTTGCATTGATCCATGCACAGATCTCCAAAGCAGCTGAGAGCAGTGCAGGATGACATCCCCAGTAGTGCAGGGGGAAAGACTGCCATGCAGTGCTGCCATGCAGCTGCCAACACAGCACAGGCCATGCAGGCTGGCATGGGAGGATGTCAGGATTCAAGAGCAGTACCTAGAGAGACTTTGTAGGAAGGCAAGCTGGAAACAGTTCAGTTCTAGATCAAATACAGCTGAGACTTCAAAAGAATGGTTCAACTTCAGTTCCAGTTCAAGACAAAAAAAGCAGTCTGAATGAGTTAGCAGTTCAGGTCTATCTTCTGTCTGTCTCCATTTCTTCCTGAGCCAGATAATCTATATATTTACATCAAGTAACATTTCATTTTGCTTCTTATTACTGACGCTATCTTTTGTGAGTTTGATCAATTTATTGAGGTCAATAGTTACAGTAATTAGAACAGATAAATTTCAGGTCACTTTAGAGCTTTGTAAAGAGTATAGCATTATTTACAATGATGGAAAATGGTACTCTCAGAGTATGCAGCTTTGTATCAGCAGTGGCAGCTTTGTATAAGCAGAGGCAGATACAGTAAGATTTGACTTCACACAAGATATGAACTGCAAAGAGCAGCTGTAAGCAGTTTCAGACAAGGAGGGACACAGTAGTATTTTCTCCAATCAGAGGTAAGCACAATACTGAATAATGATTAGGCTGATCTTGAAATCATCCACTGTTTTGATCCCTGCTACTTTTTGCACTCAAAGGATTTTCCCCATTTTTTCAGCCTAACAATGGTTAAAAGAACTGGGCAGGCCAGGTGATAGAATTACAAAGGGTAACAGAGGAATGTACAGTTACAGAGGTATGTACTCTTAAAATAATCTGATAAACTCCATTAGACTGGTATTAACCAGTTTCCCACTAGTGTTTTCATTATGGATTTTCCCAAAGGTTCATACTACAGTCTGATCCTGGGCTAGTGACACAAAGCAATGGCAATCTGATGGAATTCAATTAGGTCTGATATGATTTTAGCCAAACGAGAAATATTGAACGAGCATTTTGAAAGACAGAGGTTTGGACTTGTTCTGGAACAATGTACCTTTTCAATATTACTACCTGAAGAGAAACTAAATAGAGCAGAATGATGACAAAAAAAATTAACCTTGAAACAAACAAACAAAAAAAATCCCTCAAAGTAATTTAGTAACATACTTGCATCCAGTAACTTAAATGTTAGCACATTCATATATTTGTCTTCAATTCTGTTCTGCACAGTAACACAGAAGACATAAAGACAGGGCTGCCAAATCCTCCACATTTTTCTGTCATTTCTGTTTCTCACAGTTGTCTCCCACCTTCCTACATTTTCAGACTTCAGGGAATAAGTACTATCTCTACTCAACACAACTCCATGTTCCTCTGACAAAAGTTGCCAGTTCTTCCCTCCTTTATAGGTTTCTGGAGAACCCATTGAAAGTTGTATTTCGGCTTACTAAAAGAGAGGGAGGCAAGAGGGGCTATGGGCTGAAGATGTGAGACAGATCTTCCAGGACAGTAGCAGAGAGATGGCTGTGTCAAGAGGCAAAGGGAGAGGAAGAAGCTGGGAGACATGATGGGAGAAGGAGAATAGAAAGGATGGATAGTAAGTGTGGCAGCAAATGATGAGAGCTGGCAGCCATGAGATGGACATGAAGCTGGGACAGCATGGAAGGCAAGGAGAGAAGTCCTTTCTACACTGGAACCCATAGAAGGATGCTTCCTGCATCCATGGACACACCTGTGGCAGAAGAACAGAGACAGGAAAGAAGAAAAGTATAGCTGAGAAGAGGGAGGCAGAAACTGAGAATTATAAAGAAAGACAGAAACAAAGCTTCTCCTCATTTCCAGCCAGGGAGTCCCACGCAGGAAAGCCCACTCAAGGCACCATGGAGTGACAAGAAGAGATCAACCACCCAAGCCTCAGGCAGGAAAACACAACACTGGGAAGGGGCAGCAAACAATCCAAAGAGGAAAGCAGTTGTAAAAAAATGGCTAAGGATTAAGAAATCCTGACTTTCACAGGAGCACTTATTTATAAAATGCTGAAAATGTAAGAATTACCACAGTATTCTAAAATTAGGGGCCAAAGCCTGAAGGTGAGCCTCATGTGCAGCAGTGTGAGACATCCCCCCATCTCTGATGCAAAGTGAAATAGCCCTGAATATTGCAGTACTGCTGAAGGAGGTGGTTTCATGCCCAGATGCACTGTTGCCATTTTTTCTCCTGAAAATAGCAGACTGAGTCATTATCGTAGAGATCTCTGATGTTAATGAGTAAACTGAAACAGATGTATGTGTGTGTGTTTTTTAAAAAATTGACTATTTCCACAGGATTTTCCCTAATCATTAAGGAAAGTCCTTATAGAAATGCTCAAAGGACAACCTTATCACAGATTGTTTAACTATCCTTTATCATGTTATACAGGATTATCTGCATAAAAGCCTTCAGTAGGGGAGTAGTAAAGTGGCGTTAGCCCCCTCTTTCTACATTCAGTAGGATTTTTTACGCTTTTTAAAATCAAGACGTATTTACTTTGTATATTCAAAGCTCAATTTTAAATTCACTACCACTTCTTCATCTGCTGTGAAGGGAGCACAACTGGTTAAGAAAAATCTCACTGCAGTTGTCAGAGCAGTGTTGCTGGAAAGTAAGCAGGCAGTTTCAGGTTCCTGATGTTTTTCTCTTGGCCTTCTTCATCACCATTTTACTGATGTAAAAAACCCCAAAAGATTTAGTGAAAAAAAAAAAAATAA